AGAGTGTCTTTAGAGGTTTGTTTTTTATTGCATTGTTATTGAAAATTCAGAAAGTGAAGGAAGACAAGATCAGAGTAGAAACAATTATTAAAGATCATCACTTCTGATTATGACAACAGGAACATATACAATATTGCTGAAACTGAACTTTAGTAGAGCTATTCCAAGTAAAATATTAACTGTAAAAGATAAACATGTAGAAAATTAAATAAATATAGGCTGACAGATGAATTATATGCCAATCTTTATGGAGTAAAAAACCACCAATAATCATTCACATTACATTTCGTCCAAAGTGTTTAAAGAAGATAGATGTTGGTTGTACTTCTGGGAATATCATGGCATGTGAATAAAAAATATGGATAAAATGTGAATTCCTTCAATTATGGTTAGCCAGACTGAATAAAAAAATGTGACAGAAAAACTGAAAGATTCTGATTTTTCTAGATAATGCTTTCTGTTATTGTAAGGAGAAAATATCAAATGTGGAGCTAAAGTTCTTTCCAGCCAACACTGCAACTCTTGTGCCAACTACCAACTTACACAGCATCACTATTACTTTCTATCCAGTTAGTAAAAATTTCTGAATACTGAATTATTTGCCAGAGAACTTAGCAATCATTCATTGATAAAATTATTAACTCAAATAGAGAAAATATCTAAAAAACTTAACTTGATAGTCACATTTGTTTTTATTTTAAACCAGATTTATACAATACATAATTTAATAACAGTCATAAAATAAACTCAAGCTTTAAAAATTTTATCATAATTAATATTTCTGATATCTTGATATGTAGTTGTACTTAAAATTGAATCTCCACCTATGGTTGTTTCTTTATTAATATGTAAAATTTTACAACACTGAAGAGGCAAAGAAGACATAGAATAGAATTTCATTTTCATTCATACAAAAATATTATGCAAAAAATAAACTCATTCAGTTTGGTTTATTGATTGATAAAGAAGAAAATACAACCTGTTTCACCATTTCCCATATAAATGTTAATCTCAATTTACATGATAATCTGTTATGTAAATTGAGCATTAGATATATTTAAGTGTAATTGTGAAATTTAACAACATTATTATGTTTGGTTAAGCTTAAGTGCTTAAATTAAAAAATATTAATACTATAAATAAATGTCATTTTGGCTCATAAAGACAATTCAAATTCAACAAAATTCATATAATTTTATAAGTCTGGCCTAACCAAAGTATGCTATTAATGTAACAAAATTTTTATTACCATTTTGTTACTGTCATTTATTCTAATGCCAAATATAACAGTATAGTGCTGTTCTGTTAATTAGCTATTGGTTGACAGTTTGTTAAAGCAGACATCTAAAGTGATTTTGTCAACAATGGAGAAAACAGAGTTGCAAGCAGTGGTAAAGTACTTTCAAATGAAAGATTTAATTTAGTACTAACTGAAATCAAAGCAGAGTTGGATTCAACACTTTTGTAGTCTGCTCCTTTGTTTTCAATGTTTTAAAAACTAATTGATAATTTAAACATGATCATGTGAACACAACTGATGAACCATGAAGATGGACATCAAAAAATGGCTACTATGAATATGATAGAAAAAGTTCATCATTGGATGATTGCTAAATAAAAGTGCATGAGATAGCAGACATAATAGACATCTCAAATGACAATGTTCATAAATTTTCACAAAAGAATTGGAAATGAATTTGGTTTATTGATTAATAAAAAAAAGGAACCTGTTTTATCATTTCCCATAAAAAATGTTAATCTTAATTTACATGAAGCTAATCTATTGTGTAAATTTAGAGTTAGATATATTTAAGTAAAGCTGTGAAATATAAATGCCACAAGACAGATGTCCATACGAGAACAAAAACTGAATTGTGCGATTGTTTCTTGCAGCCTTCTGGAATGTTTTCATTGTAATCCAAAGGACTGATGTACTAATTTATAACCATAGATGAAATCTGGACCTTCCATTATACTCCAGAAACCAAAGAACAGTCCAAACAATGGACATATAAAGGTTCTTCATCCCAAAGAAGACAAAAATGGTTTTGTTAGCTAGAAGGATTATGGCAACTGTGTTTTTTGGGATTCCCATGGAATTATTTGCATCAACCACTTGGAGAAAGAGAAAATAATAAATGGCAAATATTATGCCAATTTCTTACAATAGCGGAATGACAAAATCAAAGAAAATTATTTTATTTAACTAAAATAGTGCTTTTCCACCAGGACAGTGTATTGACACACACTTTTGTAATCACCATAGCCAAAATTCATGAATTTGAGTGGTATTTGAATTAGGGTTTTTTCTCTACTTGCCAGATTTGGCTCACAGTTTTCTCCACCCTGAAAAAATAGTTCAAAGGAAGATTTTTCATCAGATTCTGATTTTAGGAAATCACTGCAGTAAATGACTATTTCAAGGAGTTGGATTTATTAATATATAAAGAGGGAATTGCATCTTTGGATTATTGTTGGAATAAGTGTGTTGGATAAACAGGAGATTTTATCAAAAAATAAAATTACTTTAACCAAAAACTGTTTTCTGTGTTAGGTCATGTGCTTTTTGAATGACCCACATATGTATGGATTTAAAGATATCATTTAGGATTTTCTTTTATGAGATTTCTTTTATAATAATCTTTTTGTTTGTTGAATAAATGTTTAATTTTTTTATAATTAAAATATCAAATTCTAATACACATATTTTTATAGGGAACTTCATTTGCTTTGGCATTAAATCTTAAACTAAAATTTTGTCCACTTCATTATCATGAAGACAATAAGGTTCTTAAAAATTGTTTTCAACATGGCTTATGTACAAGATTTTCCAGTTTATGGTCAGACTTTGTTTTCTCTATGCCTATATTTANATAATCTTTTTGTTTGTTGAATAAATGTTTAATTTTTTTATAATTAAAATATCAAATTCTAATACACATATTTTTATAGGGAACTTCATTTGCTTTGGCATTAAATCTTAAACTAAAATTTTGTCCACTTCATTATCATGAAGACAATAAGGTTCTTAAAAATTGTTTTCAACATGGCTTATGTACAAGATTTTCCAGTTTATGGTCAGACTTTGTTTTCTCTATGCCTATATTTAAAAAATGCGTTCTACCAGAATCAACCGAATCAAAACTTTTAACTTCATCTGAAGATAAGAAAGTATTAGATACAGAAGAGGTAATATTTTAAATATGAGTTAAGCTAAATTCAATAAATTTATTTTCTAAATGAATTAATTGTAATAATGACAAATATTCCAAAGCTATATTTAATTACTAAATACACAATTAAAATAAACTTTTTCTTAATCAGATTTTTTTTATTAAGTGTAANAAATACAACCTGTTTCACCATTTCCCATATAAATGTTAATCTCAATTTACATGATAATCTGTTATGTAAATTGAGCATTAGATATATTTAAGTGTAATTGTGAAATTTAACAACATTATTATGTTTGGTTAAGCTTAAGTGCTTAAATTAAAAAATATTAATACTATAAATAAATGTCATTTTGGCTCATAAAGACAATTCAAATTCAACAAAATTCATATAATTTTATAAGTCTGGCCTAACCAAAGTATGCTATTAATGTAACAAAATTTTTACCATTTTGTTACTGTCATTTATTCTAATGCCAAATATAACAGTATAGTGCTGTTCTGTTAATTAGCTATTGATTGACAGTTTGTTAAAGCAGACATCTAAAGTGATTTTGTCAACAATGGAGAAAACAGAGTTGCAAGCAGTGGTAAAGTACTTTCAAATGAAAGATTTAATTTAGTACTAACTGAAATCAAAGCAGAGTTGGATTCAACACTTTTGTAGTCTGCTCCTTTGTTTTTAATGTTTTAAAAACTAATTGATAATTTAAACATGATCATGTGAACACAACTGATGAACCATGAAGATGGACATCAAAAAATGGCTACTATGAATATGATAGAAAAAGTTCATCATTGGATGATTGCTAAATAAAAGTGCATGAGATAGCAGACATAATAGACATCTCAAATGACAATGTTCATAAATTTTCACAAAAGAATTGGAAATGAATTTGGTTTATTGATTAATAAAAAAAAGGAACCTGTTTTATCATTTCCCATAAAAAATGTTAATCTTAATTTACATGAAGCTAATCTATTGTGTAAATTTAGAGTTAGATATATTTAAGTAAAGCTGTGAAATATAAATGCCACAAGACAGATGTCCATACGAGAACAAAAACTGAATTGTGCGATTGTTTCTTGCAGCCTTCTGGAATGTTTTCATTGTAATCCAAAGGACTGATGTACTAATTTATAACCATAGATGAAATCTGGACCTTCCATTATACTCCAGAAACCAAAGAACAGTCCAAACAATGGACATATAAAGGTTCTTCATCCCAAAGAAGACAAAAATGGTTTTGTTAGCTAGAAGGATTATGGCAACTGTGTTTTTTGGGATTCCCATGGAATTATTTGCATCAACCACTTGGAGAAAGAGAAAATAATAAATGGCAAATATTATGCCAATTTCTTACAATAGCGGAATGACAAAATCAAAGAAAATTATTTTATTTAACTAAAATAGTGCTTTTCCATCAGGACAGTGTATTGACACACACTTTTGTAATCACCATAGCCAAAATTCATGAATTTGAGTGGTATTTGAATTAGGGTTTTTTCTCTACTTGCCAGATTTGGCTCACAGTTTTCTCCACCCTGAAAAAATAGTTCAAAGGAAGATTTTTCATCAGATTCTGATTTTAGGAAATCACTGCAGTAAATGACTATTTCAAGGAGTTGGATTTATTAATATATAAAGAGGGAATTGCATCTTTGGATTATTGTTGGAATAAGTGTGTTGGATAAACAGGAGATTTTATCAAAAAATAAAATTACTTTAACCAAAAACTGTTTTCTGTGTTAGGTCATGTGCTTTTTGAATGACCCACATATGTATGGATTTAAAGATATAATTTAGGATTTTCTTTTATGAGATTTCTTTTATAATAATCTTTTTGTTTGTTGAATAAATGTTTAATTTTTTTATAATTAAAATATCAAATTCTAATACACATATTTTTATAGGGAACTTCATTTGCTTTGGCATTAAATCTTAAACTAAAATTTTGTCCACTTCATTATCATGAAGACAATAAGGTTCTTAAAAATTGTTTTCAACATGGCTTATGTACAAGATTTTCCAGTTTATGGTCAGACTTTGTTTTCTCTATGCCTATATTTAAAAAATGCGTTCTACCAGAATCAACCGAATCAAAACTTTTAACTTCATCTGAAGATAAGAAAGTATTAGATACAGAAGAGGTAATATTTTAAATATGAGTTAAGCTAAATTCAATAAATTTATTTTCTAAATGAATTAATTGTAATAATGACAAATATTCCAAAGCTATATTTAATTACTAAATACACAATTAAAATAAACTTTTTCTTAATCAGATTTTTTTTATTAAGTGTAATTTTTTGAAAATATTTACATATTTGACAACACACCATTTTCTGAGAGATGTTTTACTAAATATAAAAAACACAAAAGTTTCTGATTTTAAAAAAGCAAAAGTTTATTTTGATTATATATTTTGTAATTCTAATATTAAACATAATGATTTTTAAAGAACTTTTTGTAATCCAGAAATATATATATTTCTATCACGAGCATTATGAATATATATATTATATATGATATGTAAAATACAGTTTCCCATAGAAAGACAGTAGTTACTTCCTTTATTCAAAATTTTTTTTCTGTAATTTTAAAAAAGTTAATATTTAGAGAAGATTTTAATGTTAATAAATGAAAAAATTTTGTTTAATATGATTCTTTTATTACTGTGAATTTTTTTATTATTAGATAGAATAAAAGAATTTGGAAAATACTTGATAATCTTAGTAAAAATGGCTACATAATCTCATTTCATTTGAAATATTTTACTTAAGCTGTATATTTCTATAATTCAATTACACTATAGAAATGATTTTCTTTAAAAAATTATCAGTACTGCTATATTCAGAAATGTCATTTTTCTTAAAAATAAGCATTTATAAATATTTATTAAAGTTTATTAGTCTTTAATTAGTATTATAGTTTTCATTAAGATTAGAATGTAATTTTAAAAAAGAAAGCAAAATGTTATTTTATAACATTGTAGAAAATTATTTATTCTAACGTTAAATATTTTATGTAGTTTTTAAACTTGCTTTTTTGATAGTAGAAGTATGAAATAATAGTCTTGATTCATTTGAGAACAACAATTATCAAAAACAAAGATTAAAAAACATGAAAAAAATGGATTAAAAGTAGTTTTATAGTTGCATGCTCATTTTCTAACTATAGAAAACAACTATGTACTGTACAACAGTAAGAAACAAACTTAATGTATATGAGGGGGGAAAATGTATAGAGAGGTTTCAAGGTTACATGTAATGTAATAAAATGCAATTTGCTCCCCCTTTGCCATGTTTGTGGTCTAGCTTCTACTTGCTTAGCTTGCACATGGTTTGTTATTTGGCAGGTTGGTAGTGCTTTTTTTCTATTTAAACTTAATAGAATTGTATTATTTTTATATCATGTTAAAAAGATTTTAACATGATATAAAAGTTAAGTTAAAAGGATAAAGTTTAAAAGATGCTTTTTGGTGGGCTATTCAGTCTGTCAGGACAAGATGCTGTTTTATATCAAGAGAAGGTTTCATTATGTCAGGGTGTCAATTCACACAAAGACAGTATCTTTGTTGTATATCAACAGTTGTGGCCTAAAGTAGAATTTGGCGACATCATAAACTATTTGGTTTTGACAACAAATTACTACACTCTTTCACAAATGAAAGCTTACAAATCTTTAAAGGCCCATAACTATCTTACAAGTGGCTGGATTTCTTCTGATTACATGCTCTTTCATAATGCTCCTGATATGCAGTTGGGTTGTGGCTACTCTCATAACTACTTTGGCACCCAGTCTGATAATGGCTTATCATACAATGAGGAAGGTTTTCCTTTAGGGTAAAAAACTTTTTCAATAATATATTATGACAATTTAATATTTAATTATTATTATTAATATTAAAAATAACTTATCATTATGGTATGTTATATAGAAATAATAAATAAGAATCTGTCAGGAACAACTTGAAGGGTATTATGTAATGACCATTTGTTACTGTTGGGAGAACTAAGTGAAAAACCGTAGAGAACACGAGGGGGCGCAGTGGTAGTTGGCGCCAGGGTTGAAGTGTGGTAAGGTGAAGTGTGGAAAACGTGTCTAAAGTTCCTGTATTTTTTCTTTGTTTAATATTCAAGAAGTAAAAGTTGTTAACTTATAACTGAAGGTGTGCTTCCTTGGTTGAGAGAAACAAAGTCAACATTAACATGGTAGCAGAGAGTGGTTGGGACTGGTTTGTGTTTGTGACTAAAGATTCGACATAGAAGTCGTCAGATTCGTCAAGAACAACCGAGTCGCCATTTTGTTGTGCAGGACGAGACTCAACGAAAATCCGCCATTACCACGTGTAAGTCAACTTCCTTGTTTCTATAGTTTATTTAAAATTAATTGCAAGATATTCGGAGATGGAAACGATGAATATAGGTATAGAAAAATTGATGAAAGATAACTGGGAAAACTGGAAGTTTCAAGTTAAAATATTACTAGACAGCAAGGACTGCTGGGAAGTTGTAACTGGAATGCATAAAAAGCCAGAACACTCTGATAACAATGTTAGTACAACAGAAAAAGAAAAATATGAGAAAGAGTTGTTGATATGGTCCAGAGCAGAAAAAACTTCCAAATTGGTAATAGGCAGTACAGTAACAGGAGAGGCACTTGCAGCAATAAGAAATTGTAAGACATCAAATGAGATGTGGAACAAACTGCTTATCATGTATGAGAAAAAGTCATATTTGTCAAAGGAAATTGCACTAAAGGAATATCACTTGTTTAAATATGAAGATGGAGAATCTATAACATCTATGTTTTCTAGATTAGAAGGAATAAGAGAAAAACTGAGAATCTTTGACAAAACTGAAGACGATGATTCAGTGGTATGCAAAATAATCACAGTCTTCCCCCAGAATATAAACATTTTGTGACAGCATGAGAATCTATAGATGAGAACAGGAGAAATCATGAGACTCTGATGGCAAGATTAAAACTGGAAGAGTCCAAACTTAAACAAGGAGAGATTGAGAAAGACAACAAACAGGCTGAGGCTCTACAGTGTAATAGTAGATACAGTAAAAAGGGGAATTGGAAAAACTCGAGGGAACAGAGGAAGAACAACTGGTATAGTTTGTTTTGGATGCGATAAGCCAGGACACAAACAAAATCAATGTTTTACTATCTGTAGAACCTGTGGAATAAAAGGACACATTGCCAAAAAGTGCAAAAAGGAAAAAGGAGTTAATGTTAGTGTAATGAACTAAGAAGAAAGTGAAGCATGGGTCACTGGAAGAAATCAGATGCAATCCAAACTAGACATATGGATTGCTGATAGTGCAGCTACTGATCACATGACAAGCAGGAAAGAGTGGTTCAAAGAATACAAACAATACACTTCTCCTGTAGTGATAAAAGTGGGAAATGATTCTGAGATGCTGGCTATTGGAGAAGGTTCCATAGCTGTGAAATTTTTTCTTGGCATATGTGCATATAAAAGTGTAGAGCTGACAATAGTTCTTCACGTATCCAAATGTGGAATAAATTTACTCTGTATCACAACATTAGTTGAGAAAGGACTCACTTATGAGTCTGATCATGAAAAATGTCTTCTAAGAAGAAACAGACAAATTGTGGCTAAAGGCCTAAAAGTTGGAAGACTGTATCACATGCTCATGACAGTAGTAGTAATCCAAGAGGGAGAAGTACATGTAGTGGATGCTATTGACCCTTTGCAACTGTGGCATGAAAGACTGGCACATAAGAACAAAAGACATGTAAAAGATGTGTTAAAGTGAATGGGAATTGAGGTGACTAATAAATGTGAAGATAATATCTGTAAAGGCTGCATGATGGGAAAAGCTCATAGGTTGCCATTCAGCAAAAGCAAAACTGTCACTCAAGAAATAGGAGAATTAATCCATGTAGATATTGGAGGACCAATGGAAATTGGTTCCATAAATGGCTCCAAATACTACATCCTCTNAGGTGACTAATAAATGTGAAGATAATATCTGTAAAGGCTGCATGATGGGAAAAGCTCATAGGTTGCCATTCAGCAAAAGCAAAACTGTCACTCAAGAAATAGGAGAATTAATTCATGTAGATATTGGAGGACCAATGGAAATTGGTTCCATAAATGGCTCCAAATACTACATCCTCTTTAGAGATGATTTCTCAAATTTTCGAACTGTAAAAACACTAAAGGCAAAAGAAGAAGCACCTGATCAAGTAAAGAACTTCATAGCATACATAGAGAATCAAACAGGAAAAACAGTGAAAGCTATTCGTACTGATAGAAGATGTGAGTTTGTGAATCAGAGATTGTCGAGTTACTTGGAGGGTAAGGGCATCTGTCATCAGACCACAGTAGGGTATTCTCCTGAACAAAATGGAAAAATAGAAAGAGATAATAGAACAGTGGTTGAGCTAGCTAGATCCATGCTGTATGCAAGAGGACTTGACAAAAACTTGTGGGCTGAAGCAATACATACAGCAGTTCATGTCATAAATTTGACATGAACTGCTGTATGACAGGAAAAAGTAATGTCATAGACAGAACCCCAATTGAAGTATTAACTGGAAAGAGAATCCACATTGATCATTTGCGTGTATTTGGCTCAAGATGTTTCATACATGTTCCTGAAGCTAGAAGACAAAAATTAGACCCAAAGAGCAAGGAAGGAATCTTTGTGGGATATGATCAAAATATAAAGGTTGGAATACAGAGTTTTGGTTGGAGGAAAGGTTGGAATCTTCAGAGATGTTGTCTTTGACAAGGAACTAATAGCAACAACACAGCTTAAATTAGATGTGGATAAAAGTGAAACAGATAATCATCCTTGTTATACTAGTGAAGAAACTGAAATACAAGTGCATATGCAACCAGAAATAGAAAAGGCAACAAATGGCAAGGAAGACTATAAAGCAAAATTAAGAAATAGAGAAACTTTAAAGAGTGTAAAACCGTTTCAATTACAGGAACTGCCAAGTGCAAACATAGCTGAAATTGCAGAACCGCTCACTGTGTCTGAAGCACTACAATCAAATGAAAGACAACATTGGTTAGTTGCAATGGAAGAAGAATTCTGTGCTCTAATAAAGAACAAGACCTGGGAATTGGTGATCTTACCAAAGGGCAGGAAAACTATTGATAGCAAATGGATTTTTAAAATAAAAAGAAAACCAGATGGTTCAACTGACAGATATAAAGCTCGATTAGTGGCCAAGGGATATACACAGAAGCAAGGCGTAGACTATATGGAAACATCCTCACCAGTGGCAAGGTTTGAAACAATTAGAACTGTACTCTCAATAGCAATAAATCAGGGACTCCTGTTAAAGCAGTTTGATGTGAAAACAGCCTTCTTGCATGGAGATCTGAAGGAAGAGATTTATATGAATCAACCAGAAGGCTTTGATGATGGAACTGGGAGAGTTTGCAAACTAAACAAGAGTTTATATGATTTAAAACAAGCACCTAGATGTTGGAATGAACGAATACAGACCTTTCTAATTAGAAAAGGATATAGGTTAAGTCAAACAGACCCCTGTTTATATATAAAAAGAACAGAAAAAAGTCTGACTGTATTAGTACTGTATGTGGATGATGGATTAATTGCAGGTAAAGATGCACAGGAAGTACAGAATCTTCTAGAGGAATTGAAGTCAGAATTTGAAATAGTAGAAGGAACACTTAAGCATTTTCTAGGAATTGAAATATACTTCAAAACTGACAAAATTATATTGAAACAAACTAACTATATTGAAAGGATCCTACACGAATTCAATATGAGTGACTGCAAGTCAATAAGTACACCCATGGAAGGAAAAGAAATATACAAAAAGGAAGGAGAACAAGTGCATGTACCCTACAGAGAAGCAATTGGTGCACTACTTTATCTCGCAACACGAACCAGGCCTGATCTATCCTTCTCAGTGAATAAATTAAGTCAATTTTGTGAGCATCCTCGTCTAGTACATTGGACGGCTATTAAACGTATTTTTCGCTATCTAAAAGGAACTGTGAACCATGGATTGGTGTTGATGAACAACGGAGGTGAATTACTTGAAGTATTTAGTGATTCTGATCATGCTGGAGATCTGGATGATCGGAAATCCACTACTGGATATGTAGTTAAAGTACTGGGAAATACAGTGGGTTGGGGCAGTCGAAAGCAAGCTACAGTTTCACTGTCCTCAACCGAAGCAGAACTGATAGCTGCAAGTGAATCAACGAAAGAACTACTCTGGTTCAAGCGTCTAATTGTCGACCTGGGACTCAAGAGTGCAATAAAACCTATATTACATGTGGATAACCAAAGCGCCATATGCCTAGCTAAAAATCCAGAATTCTCAAAAAGGACAAAGCATCTGGACACTAGATACTACTTTGTTAGGGAAAAATTTCAAGAAGGAGAATTTGAAATTAGATATTGTCAAAGCAATATTCAGCTGGCAGACATCCTGACCAAGGCTCTGCATAAAGAAAGCTTTGAACGGACCAAGAGCAGGTTGGGAGTGGGTTAGAAAGGCTGCTCAGAGACTCGTGTTCTCTTTTTTGGTTTTTAACTTAAGGGAGAGTGTTGGGAGAACTAAGTGGAAAACCGTAGAGAACACGAGGGGGCGCAGTGGTAGTTGGCGCCAGGGTTGAAGTGTGGTAAGGTAAAGTGTGGAAAACGTGTCTAAAGTTCCTGTATTTTTTCTTTGTTTAATATTCAAGAAGTAAAAGTTGTTAACTTATAACTGAAAGTGTGCTTCCTTGGTTGAGAGAAACAAAGTCAACATTAACAGTTACTAATGTAAAAAAATCACTGTAAAAAGTAGCATCTTAAAGAAATGTTAATGTTGCTCACCATAATAACCTAACTTAGCTATTTTTAAGTGATCAATGAAAATTATCAGTTTATATCATTAAAAATATGCATACTTTTATTTATGTAAATTAGACTGGAAGGATAATTGCTTCAAAATGCATTTCTAATTCTTCATCTGCTAAACGATTATCTTAGCTTAACACTTTAATATTAACTTGACTGTAGCCACCAAGAAAACAAATTGAAAGGTGAAAAATAAAAGTTAGAACACAATTATTTTCTATTCAAACTAAAATCTGTGGTGATTAAAATTATTTTATTTTGTTGGTATTAACAAAAGGATTTATGCAACCAGCTTGTACATATTTTGATACTCATACAAAAGTTTATCTAATTGATAATTTGCAATCTGATTTATTGCTTACCTGAAATGAAATGTTTCTGACAGGCTCGTGTAAATTCACTTTATCTGTATTGAAATTTTTCAGGTTAATCCTTGAGAGCCATGCAGATTGCCTTTGCCATGAAAGCAAGGGCAGATCTACATAGGGACTAATAGGGCCTAAGCCCTGGGCCCCAAGTGTCGAGGGCCCTCAAAAATTGAATTATCATCATAAATTTTTAATACTTTTTCATTAACAATGAGCACTTATCATCATTCAACACCATTTCATAAATAAATATATTTCAACTCTGATTTTGATGTTAAAAATGAATTTTAAACCTGAATTTAAAGATTCTTAATCTAACAAAAAAATGGGGCTCCATTGGACTTCAATAAGCTCTAGACCCGAAAAAACCTAGATCCACCCCCTGTTTGGGATCTTTGATGACAAATAATGCCAGGAATTTTAAAAATGATATTTCTTTGTTCTTGAGTGAACTAGCATTACAACCAATTATACAACAATATAGTAATATTTGTAGCAAATAACACAAGTGTTCCAGCTAATGCATGCTTAAAAACAAATAAAACATAAATAAACCACAAGATGACACCAGGCAAATTGCACATGCTCATGATGATGACTTGAATCCTCTCTACAGTATGTTTTTTTAACACGTTAAACAAATTTTCTAAAGTTTATGTATCACAGAAACAGTGTTGATTTACATTTGAAACTATAATATAAAAAATACACTTTAGAAATAGAATTAATTATTAAAATATAGACAGTATTTATATTCTTTTAAAGAAAATGTGGCACAGTATAATACACTTAAATTACAAATTTTTGCTTTTGATAGCAATCAATGAAACTGCCTTGTTTTAAGATATAAAACTATGTATTTATAAATACGAAAAGAGAGACTTTCTTTCAAGTATATACAACTTTGTAAGAATAGAAAATGTAAGAGAATATTTTAATTGATGATAAAACAGTCCAAAAGAGAAAACCTGTAAAAACAAAGGTATACTGTTTTGGATTGTATAATAATGTTCTTAAAATTCCATTCTTGAACAAAACAAATCAGAAATTATCATTTATCTTTAAATGTTCAAAATTTTGAAATTCTTTCCAAAATTTTGAACATTTCTACATTTACAAATTGATTCAATACATTCCAAATGAAAATAAAAATCTGGAAATGAAAATTGAGCTAGCATACATATGGAGACAGGAAAAGAGAAAATAACCACAACCATAAAGAAGACAAAAAAAGACTATTCCCAAGGTTTTGTGCTGGACTTGCATAGTATTATATTGGTACTGAACTAGATATAATTTATAATTATTGTACTTCTAATGTATATTGTAATGTTGGCAATAGTCACCATACACACTTTTTTTTGTATGTTATCCAATTGAAAAGGGCCTATAAGTCCAAAATGCATTTTGGAGAGATTAAATACACTGGGAGTATAATAAGCCTGTTCATTAGTCCTAAGTAACTATGTTTTTGTAATTAAATAATACAGGCAAGAAGCTTTTTAATATAAAGCAATTTTTAAAAATATAAAATGTTTTTATCAGTTTTACATTAAATAAATACATTGTATTATTTTTCTTATAAAATATGATGTGAAAAAATTTATAAATGTGTTTATAACAATAAAAATAATTATAAAATAAAATTCTTTCATTTATTTTAATATATTAATTTAAAAAAAATACTTTTTCTAAAACTTATAAATATTTTAACTTTTGATGCTGTTAGATTTTGATATTAAAATTATCGTCATCAATATTTAGATTTTTACAAATGAAGAAATTAATAATGAAATGAAAGATGCATCAAAAAAGTATGTAGGTCATACACAAAATATAATTGGTTTACAACTACTAGAAGAAGATCCATCACATGCTTTTCTTCATTTTGAAAAAGCAGGAAAATTGGGGTGTAGCAAAGCTAATTTCAATTTAGGTGTATGTTTTGAGACTGGTAATGGTATAAAAAGAGATCTTGAGAAGGTAAGTATAACATTTGTTTAAATACAAATTTTTTAAATTAAAATATTTTTTAAAAAATTTATATTTGAAGTCATTTTTAAAAATTTATATTTTAGGCTGCACATTATTATAAATTAGCAGCATCTGAAGGGCATGGCCTTGCTTTATATAATTTAGGAATTTATTATTTAGAAGGTATGGGAGGATTGGAGAAAGATGAAAATACTGCTATTGAATTGATTGAAAAAGCAGCAGAACAAAATATTGTAGAGGTTTGTATCTTGTAATTACAAAAAAATTTAATTCAAACTGTTTAATTATAGAAATAATACTTAAGCTTGCAACACAATTGACAAATTTAAAAAAATTGACTGTGACCCAAATGCTTTTGAATACTTTATCATTCTACTTCAAAAATTTGAAAAATTTTGCTTTTTGATAAAAACTAGCTTTAGCTTTTATTTTTTTGTAGTTAATTTTGATTTATTACTTTATTTATTTGAACATTATAATGATTAATAACACAGGTCTGCAAGTAAAAAACTGCATAGGATTTTTATACATTTTCTTATAAATTTCAACTTGGTAAAAAAGAAAAAAATACTAAAAAAATTCCATCACGTCAATGTTTTTTATTACACTCAAGTTTTTGTNTACTTTTTCTAAAACTTATAAATATTTTAACTTTTGATGCTGTTAGATTTTGATATTAAAATTATCGTCATCAATATTTAGATTTTTACAAATGAAGAAATTAATAATGAAATGAAAGATGCATCAAAAAAGTATGTAGGTCATACACAAAATATAATTGGTTTACAACTACTAGAAGAAGATCCATCACATGCTTTTCTTCATTTTGAAAAAGCAGGAAAATTGGGGTGTAGCAAAGCTAATTTCAATTTAGGTGTATGTTTTGAGACTGGTAATGGTATAAAAAGAGATCTTGAGAAGGTAAGTATAACATTTGTTTAAATACAAATTTTTTAAATTAAAATATTTTTTAAAAAATTTATATTTGAAGTCATTTTTAAAAATTTATATTTTAGGCTGCACATTATTATAAATTAGCAGCATCTGAAGGGCATGGCCTTGCTTTATATAATTTAGGAATTTATTATTTAGAAGGTATGGGAGGATTGGAGAAAGATGAAAATACTGCTATTGAATTGATTGAAAAAGCAGCAGAACAAAATATTGTAGAGGTTTGTATCTTGTAATTACAAAAAAATTTAATTCAAACTGTTTAATTATAGAAATAATACTTAAGCTTGCAACACAATTGACAAATTTAAAAAAATTGACTGTGACCCAAATGCTTTTGAATACTTTATCATTTTACTTCAAAAATTTGAAAAATTTTGCTTTTTGATAAAAACTAGCTTTAGCTTTTATTTTTTTGTAGTTAATTTTGATTTATTACTTTATTTATTTGAACATTATAATGATTAATAACACAGGTCTGCAAGTAAAAAACTGCATAGGATTTTTATACATTTTCTTATAAATTTCAACTTGGTAAAAAAGAAAAAAATACTAAAAAAATTCCATCACGTCAATGTTTTTTATTACACTCAAGTTTTTGTTTATATCTAAATATATAAAATTGCTTGTCCTGACTGACTCATTCATTCATTCACTGATTCATCATCGCCCAGAGCAAACCGCTTAACCTAAAGAGGTGAAATTTGGTACACAGTTAGGGTACGTCATGGAAACGCACACTAAGAAAGGATTTTTCGAAATTCCAACGCGGGGGGGNTTTTTTAATGGCCTTAAAATGAAGACTTCTCACTTTAATTCTATCAATTATAGCTGGACTTTGTAATAAATAAATAAAAATGTTAATGGTTGAAGAGATAGTGGTAGAGGAAGGTGGGTTAAGTAGTTTTAGCATTAGGAGGAAGGTCGCATGATCATATAGAAACAGGTTAAAAGTTGATAGTGAGTAATAATATTGGTGAGGTTAAGCATGCTTTGACATGTTATCTGGGATACTAGGAATAAATATAAACAACCTGCTGTTGGATTAGATCATGTTTCAACAAGCTAAATAAGTATGTTGCTGGCCATCTAATGCCACACTCAGTTTATATCCAGCATTCGAACGCTACTGTGCTTGTATTTTTATTTCTGAAATATGGCTTGCAGAGGTTGTGTAATTTCTCCCGACAGCTTCTGTTATGTTTGTGGTGAATACACAGTGAAAAGTCAACAAAGAAACATAAGTGAGTTTGTAAAGAAAGTTTAATTTGAGTATTTCAAATTGAAATTTGGAAATCAAGACAAAGCAGATTTTTGGAAACAATGGGAGAAAAGGAAAAAGAAACATGGGACTCTTTCAAGAATGTAGTACATAAGTTTTTGGGGAATACTAAGGACCTTGACTACAAAACCATTGTACAATGCATGCTGGCAGCAGCGTATGAAGCTCAAGGATGCAAGATGACCTTAAAAGTTACTTTCTTACACTCCCATATTGACTATTTTCCCAAAAACTTTGGAGCCTACAATGAAGAACAGGGTGAAAGATTTCACCAGGATGTCTGTGATATCGAGAGACGTTACCAAGGAAAATGGGATGTCAATATGTTAGCTGACTACTGTTGGATGTTCAATTGAGAAACCAGAGAAGGAAATTGGAAACAAGTTTGGAAAAGCATCAAAAAGAAGAAGAAAAGTTTCATAAGAAAAAAGAGTAGATCTAAAATTGTGTATAAATATCAGAAACAATTTGTTGATTAGTTGTAAGAAAATATAATATATTTAGTTCATTGTAATAAATAAGAGTTTTTATCAAAAACTCTTATTTATTACAATGATTTGTTTCTATTTTGCAAAAAACCTTTGTGATAGGATGTAATGGAAGTTATTTTTAGAATCTGTGATCTTTAAAACATATAATTCAGCAAAAATATTCCATGCAGCTGGAAAAAATTTTTTTTTGCAGACCTATGTAATTTTTTTGTCAATAACAAATTATTTAATTTCTCATAATAATAATTTTTATTTTATTAAATATTTGAAAATGAGATTAAATCTTTGTTTGTTAGATTGAAGTTGTGAAGCTACATCACAGTGTTAGTCTACTTAATGCTTTGTGCATTCACAGTATTTACTTTTTGTAATTTAGAATTAAAGATAGCATCTACAGCTTTTATAGGTAACCAAAATCACATCTACCTGTCATAGAGTAGTTAATATTCTATTCTTTCTTTCAGTTCTTTATCTATTATTATCATTTTATCTTTTACATCCTTTTTCAAATGTACTAGTAGCATTAATGTTATAAAAATTGTATACATCACTTACATCTAACAGTGGCTTCCTAATATCCATTTCTCCCAGCCAAGTTTCCATCCAACATAAAATGTGAAACTTTCTCACAATTTTTCAATAATCTATTTCACATTCCTCCTTCCAACCATTTATGTTCCAACTAAAGACTTTTAGGACATCTTATTTATTCAATGACTCATACTTACTCCTAAAAAAAGAATCATTGGTGGCATCATCCTCTATATATATATATATCCTTATCATTCTTGGAAGCATTTTCACTTATCACTGATTGATCATCTTTAAAGTATGCAATTTTTTGTGTTTTCTAGTCTGTCTTAAATTATTTATCTGTTTCCTTCTATTCTCTCTACATTCCAAGGAAAGTGTTTCTCTTATATGCACAACCTGTCCAATCAGAGACATCGAAAACATTAATATTCTTCCAACTTTTTAGTATCTCTTTTCACATTGAATGAAATATAGATAGGTAATCAAAATCTTGCTTTCTTCAATCTGTCATTCGTAAGCTTGACACAGTCAAGAATTACATTTGATAAACTAGATACTTCTCTGACCAATTCTGAGAATTTGATAACTTTCGCACTTGTATGCCAATATCTTTGTCTCTTCATGAACACACCAGCGGCCATGAAGACAGCTCTTCCCACATTGTATTTGTTATTGAGTATTGTATTGTAAATAATAATTATGGTTAAATATTTGATAAATCTAATTTTGAAGTTTAAGCCATTTTTTAAATTCTAAAATGTTTAGAATATTTTCAGATATAAAAGTTTATGCTTGCTTAAAACAAACTAAAAATATTTCTTTAATAAATTTTTCTAAAAGTAATATATAATTTACATTTATTTTCAAATTTAATAATGAATATTTTACTTGAAATTCTCTGAAATTAGATATTGTAATCTGACATCTGAATAAAAAAAATTTGACTCAAAAAATTTTTCAACATTATTAAATGTTCAATTTTTCACTTATGTAATGAAAAATAATGTCAATTATTAGGAAATTATGCATACAAAATTTAACAGAGTAAAACTAGAGACAAATATTGGGTAAGTAGAAAGGATTAAAAATAATAATAGAATTTTAAAAGGACATAATTAATAATATATACAGTCCTGAATACAATATTTGACATCATTTAAAAGTGAGAGTTGATAAGATATAGCTGTATGATCAAATTGGGAATGATACAGACATACTGATGAGCAAAATGTTTAGAAAGTTTCATGAGATTTCTGGATTTTTCTGTGAGATTTCTATAAAAAGTATGGACAAAGTTTCTCTACCAGTAGGAAAAGTAACCTTGTAGAAGTGCATTGTCACATTCTTTCTCCTGTATCATATTTATGGAAGTAATGTGTCTTAGACTCTGTGCAATAGAACGCATGAAGAAGTTTGTCCCTGAATGAAGACTTTGTATAAGAAGTACTATAGTCTTCAAAAAGTGGAGGAGATGACAGGCACAAGAGCAGATACAGGGGCTTAAGTCTTCTCCATTAACACTAAACAAAGTTAAAATTTATTTGTTTTAACTTCAAAATATTGTTTTTAAAAACATTTATACTGGCAAATATAGTTTATCAGACCATCAACAATACAATTATCTTACACATGTTAATAAAAGGTACTGATTCAAATATTTTTAATTAATGAGTTAGCCTCACTTTTGATTCTTCTGGATCTGCTGTTGGGCATACTTCCATGTCAAAAATGTAAATGTTCTGCACTGGCAAGCAAGAATGTCCAGATCTAAATATCATAAAAAATATCTGGCATCTTCTGGAAGTGTATATATATATATGATTAACACTGATTAAAGACCTCTTTAAATTTCTATCAAAATAACTTCTTGAGATAGAAGATAAGCATGGAGGTCAGACCTATATTCCTGTCTTTGACTTGTGCTTGATTGTGATAATAAATATTATGTCTGCATTAAAATCTTAAGTTTAATAAAAACTGTGTAATGAAGTCTCATATCTGCATTGTCATTTCATACTGGTATACCTCTCCAAACCTTTAAACTAGCCATGAGTGTGGTGCATTAAGCCAGATCAGTGTGCTAATAGATAAAAAACATTCTGATAATATAACTGAATCATATTGTCTTTTATCTTGTCATTTTGGAAAATAAAAGCCTGTTTTTTGTTTCAATAGTAGTAATTTGTGTGTTGATATTATTTTATATACGGTAGATATAGTTTTCTTTGAGTTGAACTTTAATTCTATTGGAATCTCAATTCTGAAGGTTTTAAATGTTAAAACCTTCAGAATTTCATTTAAAACCTCAACATTAAAGGTTAAATTTTTGATTTTTGTAAATGGATTGAAAATAGGTCTAAAAACTTTAATTATTTTAAACTATGAAAATATACATTTACATTGATTTTAATTGCTTTTCTTATTACAGTCAGATTAAATGTAAAAGAATATTTGAAAATAATGAAATATTTCATTACTTTTTAAAAGTTTACTTTTAATTTTATTACTTTTTTCATTAGGCACAAGTCTTCCTGGGAATTCATTATTTTCAATGTAATAAAAGATGTAAAGCATTTAAATATTTTGAAAAAGCTGCCAAAACTGTAAGTATTTTAGTATTTAGAACAGTTGTTCTAAATATATGTACTTTAAAATTTACTAAAAATTTACTTAGAAAAGCATTATGCAATTTTTTATGAAAAGCTTATTAAGTGATTAATATTCACTAATTAAATATCATAAGAACATCAGCTTTAAACTATAACTAATACTTTAGCCATAAATTTATATTTTTATATACAGATAACTCTTAGTATTTGCACTTTTTCTTATCTGCAATTGAACCAACCACATGACTGCTATTTGCAAATTGCTTTTACAATATTTCCATTGCAGTACAGTATTTTGTTACCTTCAGTTTTTACATCTTTTGACATAACCAACAGAGTACAATAACTACTGTACTATCAAGCAAGTCATTGCATTACAGCAATAATGCCTTTTGCCAAATTGTACATGGCAAAGTTTATGTCACAATTATGTAAATAGTGTACATACAGTAGAGCATCGATTATCCAACTCAATTGGGGACTGGGGTTGGTCGGATAATTGAAAAGTCAAATAACCAAAAAGTATGAAGAAATCCATTATTAGTGTAGTATATTATTATATCCCATGTAATTAATATATTAGTATATCGCTATTAACCTACTTTGCGTTGAATTTTCCTCCATGTTAAACCTATCAAATTTTTTTTTTAAATAATAATCGTCACTATTGTATCGTTAAAAATTAGAAAATTAAGCCTCGTTTAAATACGATCCAGTGTTGCCAGCTAAAACACACAAAAATAATATTAAAGTAGCCAAGACATAGCCAAATATTGTAGCGCCACATCACTAGCGGACATTTCAATTTGCCGACTAGAACGCGGTCGGTTAACTGAGGTGACGGTTAATCGGGGGGTCGGATAATCGATGCTCTACTGTAGTTCATACAATAATAATAATAATTTGATATAGTAATATAAAAGATGATAAAGCAGATAGTCAGTGAGGGGTTTGAATGTAAACAGAGGTTGAGAACATACAAGGTGCATTCAAGTTCTAAGGGCTCCCATATTTTTTCTGACAAAATACTTACACAAACAAACTGAAACTTCTGTCACTTTTGAACATAATCTCCCTGCAGACATACATATTTTTCACAATATCAATGCCATAACATATTGGCTGCTGCAAACACTTCTTTAGGAGTCTGTTTTGACCACTGGAAAATCACTGATGCTAGAGTGGTACGACTGGAAAATGTATGACCACAGAAGTGTCCTTCATCATTGGTAAAAGCCTGAAATCGCTAGGAGCAAGGTCAGTTGAGTAGGGAGCATGAAAAACCACTTCAAAGTTGTTTTCACAAAGAAACCCCTCTGTTAACATTGCCTGATGAGTTGGAGCATTGTCTTGATGGAAGAGCACATATGCAGTCTTTTCCGGTCATTTTTCTTGCAATGCTGGAAGCAATTCACGATGACAACATGATTGTGCATATGAAGCAACTTGCTCCACACAAGCAATCACATTATCAGACTGGCTGGTATATGGGTATGGATGTTTCAGTTCATTGTCACACGATGTTTGCCATTCTTTGAACTGTCACACCCATGAATGCACATTTTTCACATCCATGATACCATCACTGCATGTGCTACTCAACTGGCAATGAATTTCGGTGGGTGTCACTCCACACAAGTGCAGACAACGAATGATTACGCATTGCTCATGTAATGAAAACATCGCCATTTTAAGTATCAAAAACACCTCTCACTTGAACTGCTGCTGCTAGAGTTCCATTTACCGCAGCTCCACTCTCTCTGTTATGCAACCACAAACAGTGTCCACTTCTTTTAAAAAACTGCATGTTACTACCTGTTTCCTTCCCCTAGAGAAAAAATAGGAGACCTTACAACTTGAATGCACCTCGTACTGTATCAGATAGCTTCAGAACCTATAAATGAGAAACTGGAAATGATAGTTATGGAAAATTTGCACAACAGTGAAGAGGAAGATGATGAACAGGAAAAAATGTAAAGCTGCCAATGACAGTTTACAAACTTTCAGAAATATACAGCACTATTGATAGCTTATGCAAGGAATTTCAACAATCAGACTGTATTCCTGAGCACAGTCTGAAGTTTAAGCAAGCCTTGGAAGCAGCCTAGCTGTGTTGAAATTTTGAAGGACATGAATTAAAAAGTCCATCAAGCAACATTAACCCAGTTTTTCTAAACTGTTGTAAATCCTCCACAGTAGTCGTAAAATTTAAGACTAATTTTTTTAATGTAATTAAACATATGAATAAAATAAACATTAGTTGTAATTACTTGCTTATTGAATCATCTGCAAAAGTTTAAGTATTCCCAAACATGTTTTATCTCAGTCACACTGGCTCAAACCTGCAAGAAACTACCTCTATTTTCCCACAGGCCTTCCTATTGGCATTTATGAGATTTCCAAGGAACCTAACTCTTGCAAATACCTAGAGTTACCTGTAATATATATATATATATCTGGTTAAACAAAAAATTAATAATAAAATATATGTTATTTTTTCAAAATGTAATAAAAAGTATATTTTAAGAATTTCTCCTTGATATTGTTATTTGAAAAATTAATCATGTATTGATATGATATGATGGTGCCATTTTGTCCATTTAAAATTCAAAAATTTCATTTGACAACTTTCTAAAACAAATATGAGCAATTATTTATTATGACATCATCACATTGTCGGGTTGCAATTTTTTATCATAATGCATTCAAGTTTAGTAATGTCTTGCCCCTGTACACCATACTTTTCCTGTTAACAATGAAGTCATACTGGTATTTATCTAACTTCGTTTAGAGGAAAATTTTTGAATTGAAATAACATGACTTCTGGTCGAAAGCAGACATTCGTATATAGTTAATCAGGGCCTTCTGCCCCTAAGCTTTCCATATCTGGTCTTAACTTTCATCTTTCTAACACCATTCTTGAGATTAAGGAAAAACAGACAGGCAGATGGATGACAGTGGGAATTTATAGGTCTACAATTTTTTCAAATTGCATACCAATTAAAAAGTAGCTCAGTTAAGAACGAAATGACAATAGGTATGTTTTTGTCAGTGGTCTGTGATATTTATTTTAAGAGAATCATTCTATGTATATATGTATATACTGTATTTATAATATACAGGTAATCCCTGTATAACATGGCACTTCTATAGCACGGATTCACTCTAACATGGCTCGAGAATTGGGAACATCCCTGTATAACACGGTGCTTTTTTTAGCACAGATTCACTGTAACATGGTTCAAGAATTGGTAAAATCTTCGTATAACATGAAATGTAATAAATTTTCACATACTTAAGTACTAATAGTTCATAAAAATAATAATTTTCGTGAACTATTAGTACTTAAGTATGTGAATTTTCTTTTCCCACCTTTTGTCGATACACATGGTCCTTCTCAAAACTTGTTTCAGTGTTGCCAGATCACGACGCTTTGATTTTTGTGTTGCCAGATGCTTTTTCCTTATTCCATACTTGCTTTATTTTTCATAAGTTCTTAGCACCATATAAGGAAATTTATAAAGATCTTTTAACTAGAAGCAAGCAATCTAAAATTACATACTTTTTGCAAAAGGTAAAGCATGGATCTGAAGATAATGCAGAAAAATGCTCAGAGGATAACGATAACTTGCCAAAAATAAAACGCTCTCGGTTAATAGTGCTTTTAATGATGACAAAGAAAACATTGTTTAATTTATATTCATATGTATCACTTAAGAAAATTTTAATAAAGATATTTAACTTAANAAAAAATTTTAATAAAAATATTTATCTTAATTATGAAAATATAATAGCATGTTTTTTAATTTTTGGAACTTAGTTCTTTGTTTCGTATAACACAGATTTGCATAACACGACAATTTTTTGGAACATAACTCCCATGTTATACGGGGGTTACCTGTATATGAAGAAATTAATGGATAGAGCATATTGACACTGATTTTTTAAATGTATTTGTATTTCATTTAACAGTTATTGACAGACAACTACAGTTACTAAATTGAGATCTATATGACTTGACAGAAAGCATTTTTATTTTGATTTTTTAGAGACTTTAGTCAGGTTATTTTTTCATCTATTGTCTCCTCTTTCCAGCTAATATATATATTTAAATAATAAAATTATTTTTATAATGTAATTCAATGCAATGATCTTTATTTTCAAAATCATCAATGACTCTATTAAAAACAGATATTGAAAAATTAACTTTCAGAAGAAAAAATAAAATAAAAAAAGTTTTTCATAAAATACAATAAGTTCAGTGGAAGCATTAACATGTACAGTGGGTGATCAGTTAACGAACATAATCTGTTCCAAGACATTGTTTGCTATCCAAATTGTTTGTTAACTGATTATCAATTTACCATAGCTTTGTATGGGAATTTGATTAATTCGTTCTAGAGACCCCAAAAAATAAAAAATATATACTTTCTTACTACATTTATTTATATGTAATAATAAAAATACATATATACACAGACTTGCATTTTTATTAGTCATGTTTTTTGTGGGGGTTAAATAATCTGTTTAATGTCAATTGCTTTTCCCTCTTCTTCAGGATTTTCAGAATTAATAGCATTATAATTGTAGAGATCCCCAAGCCTATTAACCTCAACCTGGTTTGTATGCCATTCTAAGACCATTGATCTGACATCCCCCACTTCTTCAAAAGATTTTAAATTAATAATAGATATCGGCATTAATCCTCTTTTCCAGAATAAAACATATCTCTCTGAGTTTCTTGGTGTTCTTCATTTAAGAGTTCTTGGCATTCTTCTGTTGTCAGATCCATTTCAGGTTCCATTATGAGCTCTTCAATGTTCTTTATTTCTCAGATGTAATTTTAATTGTCTTTTAGCTGCTTGAGTCTTCTTGATTATACTGTATCTTTCTTAGATAAGATTGAACTGTCCCTACTGTAGATTTGTTCAAGCCATACTGCCCAGCAACATCAGACATCTTCTGCCCACTCTCTACCTTTACTATTATACTCT